CAACCCAATGCTGGATCTTTCCCACTGTAACATGAAACATACAGGTTGTTGCATCCATATGATTTCATGAATCAAAATACATCATTTGTTTATATTCATCGTGTTTTCCTAAAAATATTGTAACATTGAGGAACTTTTATTGTCATCACACCTCTGTTGGTGGTTTCATTTATTTCTAAATACATGTAAAAAAGTTTGAACAGTATTGAGCTATGTTGTTTTCTTTAAGTTCTCAAGTTACTCAGTATGAGCCCTGGTATATAGTACTGTAAAATCTGTATTAGAAGCCGCATCCCTAATAGAAGTCGCACCCATTCTTTTTGAATAATTGAGAACCAAAAATTCATCATTTCTCATATGTGTAGATGCTCTAATAGAAGCCGCATTCCCTCTATTGCATTGTACCATTTTAATAGAAGCCGCGGTTTCTAATACAGATTTTACAGTACTAAAAAAATATTTAAATGACAGATGCACATCAATTTTTACTGTTAATTGCTGTAATTTCATAAAAGATAAATTCACAAAATCTTAAAGCAGGGGGTGTCGTCACCTGCGCATACGTCAGATGGCCATAGCGTGTCATTGTTTATAAACAAACGTCTACTCATGAGCCATTGCAGTTTTAAGCGTGTGTTGTTATCGTTGCTTGGGACTCAATTCCCACACGTTCATAGGTGACGACTCCCCCGCTTTAACAATTTATATTATTCTGTTGTAAGCTATTGATGCAAGACCCACAGTATCAGAATGTGCTACACAGTCGGAATATTGCCAACTACATTCAAAACTAAATTGTTTGCTTATCAGGTGACATTGTGAGTGTCAATATGCAAGCTGCTGCCCCGTCATGTGACTTCAACGGATGGATAGAGGACGTGGCTGCTAAGTCCGATGGTGCATTCACCGATCTACCCGAGTTCCACATGCCTGGTAAGTGATGGTATCCAGAAATCAAATAGTTTATGAATTAATGAAATCTTGCCTTTTCAGAAGATTGTGACCTCACCGCTTTTGGTGTTCAGAAGATTGTGACCTCACTGCTTTTGGTGTTCAGAAGATTGTGACCTCATCGCTTTTGATGTTCAGAAGATTGTGACCTCACAGCTTTTGGTGTTCAGAAGGTTGTGACCTCACAGCTTTTGGTGTTCAGAAGGTTGTGACCTCACAGTTTTTGGTATTAAGATGATTGTGACCTCACAGCTTTTGCTGTTCAGCATTCAGAGTTTGGTTTTTAGCATACACTACAAGTTTAAATAAAATGTTATACACCCTCAGTGGCATATTTCATTTTTACTTTGTTTTTGTTTTTTCAATATTACCATTTTATGCTCATAAATAGATGTTTTCTTATGTTATGTTTTTAGTCCCCGTGCTGACGCAGTCCGAAAACGGGGACTTGTGTTTTGACCCTTGTGCGTCTGTGCGTCTGTGCTTCTGTCCGTGCGTGCGTGCGTCCGGTCCTGTATCTTAGAAATGCCTGTATCTTAGAAATGCCTGGACCAATCTTAATCAAACTTCACCCATATGCACATCAATTTGTTTCACGATCTTATTCAAGATGGCCGAATGGCGGCCATTTTTGTGTTTAAAAAATCATCAAAATCAAGCATTTCTTAGCTGTTTACAGATGGATTTTGTTCAAACTTGGTATAGACATTATGGACCTTGATGCAAATAATTTTGTTTTTCAGATAAGATTCAAAATGGCTGACTGGCGGCTATTTTGTTTTAATGAATGTGGTTCTCGTGACTTGCTTTCACTGATTATGTTCAAATTTTAAATATTCATTACCGGTATACATCATGTCATAGATAGACAGATATATTGGTTTGACGATCCTATTCAAAATGGCTGAATGGTGGCCATTTTTGTGCTAAAAAAATCATCAAATATCAAGCATTTCTGGCATTTCTGGATGGATTTTGTACAAACTTGGTACATACATTAGACATTACGGGTTCCTGATGCACATCATTTTATTTTTCAGATCAGATTCAAAATGGCTGTCTGGCGACCATTTTGTTTTTATGAATGGGCTTCTAGATCCATATCTCTGACTTGTTTTGACTGATTATGTTCAAATTTTAATATTCATTATACATCATGTCATAGATATACAGATGTATTGGTTTGACGATCCTATTCAAAATGACCGAATGGTGGCCATTTTTGTGCTAAAAAATCATTGAATATCTAGCATTTCTGGCATTTATGGATGGATTTTGTTCAAACTTGGTACATACATTAGACATAACAGGTTCCTGATGCACATCATTTTATTTTTCAGATTAAATTCAAAATGGCTGACTGGCGGCCATTGTGTTTTAATGGCTGGGCTTCTAGAGCCATATCTCTGACATGCTTTGACTGATTATATTCAAATTTTATATATTCGTTATACATCATGTTATAGATATATTCATTTACTCAAAATGGCTGATTTTGAACACTGTTCCAGAGCAATATCTCTCAATATGGACAAGTACTTGTTTGATGATCAGATAGAAATGTCAATCATTTTAATGTTAAAAAATCATCATAATCATATTCCTGACATGGTTATATTCCATCTATATTACTATAAACAAAACTATATATCTTAAATTCGATAACTAACGGGGACTGTGCCATGCATGGCTTGTTTTTTTCAGATCAGTCCAAACCTCATGATTTTGAAGATGTTGAGATTGAAGGTAAAATGAGTGGTGTGTACTGTTTTGCACCATCAGTTGGTACAGTTCAGGCCAGTGGTACAGTCAGTCCTAGTGAACCTTTGATAAAACCTGCAATGATACAATGTATGGAAGCCATGACTTCGGAGAGACCATATTTCACTGTCACTGTCACTGAAATGGGTGAGAACTGTGTTTTAATGTTATAGTTATGACTAAATTACTAATTTTTTCATCTTTCCCGACCCATGTATTTTATGAAAACTTCTGTATTTTCTTCACATTCAACCATTTACAATCTATATGCCATATATTTGGCATGCTGTGATGTTTTTTTTTTAATAATTTCTGTTAATTTTGAACCAAATAAACATCCTGTCAATCACTTTAAATTTTGTGCAAGACACATTTTCAGTGAAAATCACAAAATTATTTTGCATTAAAAATTTTATTTTGTGTGAGACACATTTTCAGTGAAAAGGTTTTGAGGATTCACGACACAAAGTGTCAGGGACTTTCACTAAATAACCTCAAATCAAGAAAATTCCTGATACCTGTAGCATTGCCTGTAGGTCTTGATCAATATTTTTGAATTTTGTGCAAAAGGTTGGCATTCAAAGTGTGAAAGAGTTTTTATGAACCATCAAAAATAAATAAATGTTTGATTTCACTTGATTGGTGTTGTGTTGCATATAGGGTATGACAGTGGATTGGCTATTGGTATCACGAGGTCAGGACAAACTGTCGGTACGTTACCAGGATACCTAACAGAGACAGCGGGATATCATTGCCATGGGGGCGTATACAGAGGTTCAAGACACAAGAATGCATACTTTAAATCAGAAGAGTATGATAAAGGTAACACATTAATTTATTCAAGGATTCTTGTGACAAAGGCGATGATAATATGCAAGGGTTTGCACCTATTATTTTAAGGTAACATGCAATGCAGATCTACAGAAATCACACAAGAACCCGCGAGACATTTATTGAGCATGAATATACATGTACTTATGTCAGGTGTAATATGTTTACTTGTTTGTGGTTTTGTAACATTTGTAATTCATCATCTATTTCACCATTGAACACCATCATCTTTTCATCTTAATTTTAGACTAAATGGATGTAATTTCCCATTGATCAAACAAATTTTTGAAAAAAATATGGAATAAATCTCTGCAGGTTTATTTTGGGAAAGGTTACAAAAGTTGACTTTGGTGTTTAGAAGGTTGTGACCTCACAGCTTTTGGTGTCCAGAAGGTTGTGACCTCACAGCTTTTGGTGTTCAGAAGGTTGTGACCTCACAGCTTTTGGTGTTCAGAAGGTTGTGACCTCACAGCTTTTGGTGTTCAAAAGGGTGTGACCTCACAGCTTTTGGTATTCAGAAGGTTGTGACCTCACAGCTTTTGGTGTTCAGAAGGTTGTCACTTCACGGCTTTTGGTGTTCAGAAGGTTGTGACCTCACAGCTTTTGGTGTTCAAAAGGGTGTGACCTCACAGCTTTTGGTATTCAGAAGGTTGTGACCTCACAGCTTTTGGTGTTCAGAAGGTTGTCACTTCACGGCTTTTGGTGTTCAGAAGGTTGTGACCTCACAGCTTTTGGTGTTCAGAAGGTTGTCACCTCACGGCTTTTGGTGTTCAGAAGGTTGTCATCTCACAGCTTTTGGTGCTCAGAAGGTTGTCATCTCACGGCTTTTGGTGTTCAGAATTTAAGGTTATGACATCACAGCTTTCGGTGTTCAGAAGATTGTCACCTCACATTTTTTGTATGCAGGTACTACGTTTATTTATTTCATAGCATATGCACTCATGAAATGACAGATGTATTTATGATCAATTTGTATTTTAATGATCCTGTGTAGAATTTATATAAATTTCGTTTGTTGCATGCTCTGATTACAGATGCACTTCTAATATTAAAAGAAAATATGGTGCTCATTTTCAATTTGCAATTGCTATCTGAGATCTTATTGAGAGTGAGAGAGCAACACTACATGTTTGTGCCTCCCAAATAATGTTTCATTTTTTCATTGTCATCACATTCTTTATTCTGCTGATCTATGTAACATCAGGACAGTGGTCATAATGGTGATAGAAAATAAAACACTACCAGGCAAAAACAATTTACGTGGCTCTCTTGCTGTCAACAAGACTTAATCGGCAGCCATTTTGGATAAGATTCGTTCATAGTGTCTAATAAATGAAGTTTTTTTTTTTCTTCGTCTTGTAGGAGACATAGTAGGATGCATTCTTGATTATTCTGGTGAAGTCTACATTGTATCATTTACAAAGAATGGCCAACTGATGGGAAGGGCACAAGTCATGAACAACAGAAAATATGATTTATTGGCATCCATTGGTTTTAAGAACATGCCAAGTGTTGTCCGGCCTGATTGGCCCCACAAAATAACTCAGCCAAAGCCTATCTTTAATCAGGTATGATTATATATCGCTGTATTCATGGTGCCTTGTGTGATAGAAGGCATGAACTGAGCTTTCATGTTGTCTGTTTGTCTGTATTCAAAATAACTTCTTTCAGTTTATTAGGCCCTGAATAAAAAAAAAATGTGTAAGATCAATTTTCTTTTGAAAGTCAATGTGTGCATTTTAAATTTTTTGGCATAGAAATTGTGTTTTTATTTTAACTTTGTAAACAAAAGTTGAATTTTTTTGATGCATTTATGTTCAGTCGATGACCTGAGACTTGAATATTTGTTTGTCATCATACCATTTCCTGATACATTCCAAGTCTGCTGTAAATCCAAAAATCATCCCAAGTACTGAGTTTGATGCACAATAGTGTAGCTATCACAGTCTGTAGGATACCAACTAACAACATTTCTGAATAAATCGGGAAAAATATACCGGTATGTGAATGCAAACGACTGTTTAATTTTGAAGAGTAAAAACCTGTGCATAAATATATAAATACAACACATGAATAAAGTCACAAAAAGGGGTTCACGGCTGTTGTTTATGTACTTTAATGGACACTTGTATGGGATTCAGGAGTTGTGTTTATGTGACTATATTTTATTTAAGACTGCCTAGACAAAAATATCTGTCATGTTTGAAGGGCTACAACTAACTGTAGTTATGTTGCTTCTGCTGAAGACCAAGTCCAACATGGCGGCATTGGTTTTTGTGTTTCTGTACTTGGGTTCATGATGCCAACCTTTCAGGCTATGAGGTTGTTACATTGTATATATAACCTTTTGAACACCATCAGTTTTCCCGCCAAAATTTTTGTGCAAAATTTTGTCTATTTATATGTACAGTGTATTTCTCTTTAAATTCTTTGTTAATGTTTTACCAGGCAGACATTTATTTATTGGCTACAGGTTTTATGAATATGCCAAAAAATTATGTGGGCTTTATTTTGTGAAAGGTGCTAAAATTAGTCCTAGGCACACAAAGGATTAATATACTGTAAAATACTTTATTTTTGCTTGGAATTAATTTTCGATATTTTCGCTGAAGGAATGATTCAGTGAAAATAAAATACAACGAATATACCTTTTTTTTCTAAATTTTACATTCAACTTGTCAAAAATCAGTGAAAATAAATTCCATAAACACGCAAAAACTCTTTTCAGCGAAAATTAATTCCAGCTAAAATAAATTATTTTACAGTACTACAAGGGATGATGGATTGACTCATTTCTGTTTATCCGGATTAAAATCTGATTTTTTAAAATGTGGTGGCTGTGATTTGGCTCGAAGTATAGCCACTGTACTCTATAGGTCGGAACAATTCACGAAGTCGGAAAGTCTCATGTCAGGATTGACATTTATTGAACTTTGAAAAGGAAACATCAACAACGGCTTGAAACAACAACAAACGTAAAAATAATAAACGATAACAATGGCACGAGGACCTCAAGAGTCACATGACACAAAACTCAAGTTGTGATAGATCGGTTTTAAACCAATCACTGATCGCGGTAATAACGTCATAGGTCAAATACAATGTATGATATAATAGGAATACGAATAATCTAAACTAAACATCAAAGCTATTGCTGAACAGAAATAATACAGCGAATTGAATATTAATTATAGAAAACATTTTGAAGTCTAACTAGACAATTCAAACTTAATCAACAAACACACCTATGATTTGCATCTCGCCCCGACAAATGTGGCTGCCAGCATACAACATCTCACATCTGAACAACAATTGTGTTCAGTCTGCACAACCAATATGTCCAATTAGTATGTCTCTTTAATAGTGTCTGCATGTAACATGAGTTCTGATTGGCTGTTGATTGTACAAGACTTGAAAGCAGTTTTGTACGTATTTAGTTAGAGGCGATGTACACTGATGCCTGTATAATAAAAGAATCCAGAGCCTCTATCTATATGTCTGTAATTTGAATCTGACAGATAAACTGTTCATATCACATGTATCAGAAGTTTCTATTTTTAGAGTGCAAGGGAAATAACTTAGGAGGTTTTGGTTGATATCGTCACCTGGTCATTGTTAAAAAATTGTATGGAATTGAGGAAAAATAAATAGAAAAACATTTATAATGTCACCATGTTCAAACATGTATGCATTCAAATTGTGTAGTTAAAATGTCTGTTTTATGACGATTGTCTTTTTCATGACTTTTTAACGATAAAATTAATGACAATTTTGAGATTATACTTTCATCATGTGTTTAACCAACTTGTCACAAAAACAATGATATTTCTTGTTTGTAGAAAGATTTGAATGACTGGATGAAAAGTGCCGAGGTTAGTGTTCAAGGATTGCAAAAATTCAAACTGAAGAATAAATCGAGGAAAAGTGAACCCCAAATGATTAGTGCACCACATCCATTGAGTAGAGGTAAGTAAACACAAACTAACATGCAAAATGGAGAATCATCAATTAGTGATTAAAAATTGTGAGTCTTAAGTCACACAAATTGTCACTTGGTTTGGAGTAACACTTGTCATAACTTTGCATATAGGTGTGTGGAAGGCTTACAAAGCCGTGAATGTTTACCAAGAAAGGTGCTTCAAACCTGGCGCAGATATCTTGCAAATAAACCTTCCTCTTTTTTTCAGAATGCAGCTTTTTTTCGGTCAAGATATTATCCCGAAGGTCAAAGAAGAAGGGTCCTACCATAGGGATATCAAATCACTCCCATGTACCGAGAACAAACTCCAACTATTTGGACGTTAGTTTCTTTACGCATAGAAATGATATCATAATGAAAAGTCGATCCAGAATACCTTCAGTCAGTAAGTATTGAAAGATACAAGTATATTGAAAGTAGTAAATGCATTTATCATTGTTACACCCAGTTTCATAAAGGCGTGAATGTTTTTCTGATAAAATATTTATAAATTATTTATTGAAAACAACTTGACCAATCACAATGTCTTAGCGGATACAATGCCACCCATATATACCAATAATTGAAAGAGACTCGCTAAGACTCAGATGATGAATGTTACCCAAACTCCTTATATAACCAATAAAAACATCCTCTTTGAATTTCAGTGTAGCTGAGGGTCTTCTGGAGTGAAAGTTTGATAAATAATTTAAAAATTCCCACAACAAAACAATCATGCGAATATGAAATGGAGTGTACTTGGTTTTGTGCATGGGTTTTGGGACATCATATGAAATACTGTTCTGAAAATAACAATGCTGATTCTGCAGAAATAATTACTTTTCTTTGAATTTAGAAATGTGTTTATTCTAATTGGTTAGCAGTTGTTGTAGTATCTGTTTCACCTTCATTGGCTGTTATTCTGATAGAACCACCTGGACATACCAGCTGGTTCATCCAGTGGCAACACTTATTGTGACATTGTTTAATCCTGATTGGCTATTTTTCTTGTTGACCACCTGGACATACCAGCTGATCTCACCAATGACACTCTTGGTTGTGGCATTGTTAAATCCTGATTGGCTGTTTTTCTTGTAGACCACCTGGACATACCAGCTGGCCGCACCAATGACAATATTGGTTGTGGCATTGTTTAATCCTGATTGGCTGTTTGTCTTGTAGACCACCTGGACATACCAGCTGGCCGCACCAATGACAATATTGGTTGTGGCATTGTTTAATCCTGATTGGCTGTTTTTCTTGCAGGCCACCTGGACATACCAGCTGTGGCATTGTTTAATCTTGATTGGCTATTTTTCTTGTAGACCACCTGGACATACCAGCTGGCCTCACCAATGACACTATTGGTTGTGGCATTGTTTAATCCTGATTGGCTGTTTTTTCTTGTAGACCACCTGGACATACCAGCCGGCTTCACCAATGACACTATTGGTTGTGGCATTGTATATCCTGATCCTGAACAGACAGATGAAAGAGTACAACAGTTCGTCACTGTATATTTTACCGTCAATGGTTCCGTTGTGTTCCATGAAATTGTAGAACAACCACATGGTGGACTGTATCCAACTTTAACCACACAAGTTTACGGTGAGTCACTCTAACCACCCAAGTTTATGGTAAGTCACTTCAACCACCCAAGTTTGTCATTTGTCCCATTTCCGGATTTAATGATTCTTGGGGATAATATTTCAGGAAAAATTATGCAGTTTTAATGAATGACCTCCCAGTGAAATGTTGCAATGCTACAAATTCCACAAATCTCACCAAATCATGAAAATTTGTCTTGTAAAATTGAAGCTGCTTACAGGAGGTATTATATACTTTATTATTGCAGGAGATGAACTTGAAATTAACACAAATTTCAAAGCACCTTCATTACCTGAAAAAGACGCTTGGAATGAGAAAGCATTTGAAAAGATCAAACAACACAAAGTACTTGTGAAGGCCTTGCGTAAGTATATACAGAAATCAGAAGTCTTTTTTTGTTGTTGTCATATTTGGTTTTATTCATTTCACGCTGCCCAATGTCAAGAGAGTGTAGATACAATTTATTGTCTTATTTATCATTGGTTTACTTTGTTGACGTTATTTGTTATCACGGTGGGTGTGGAGTAATATTGTAGTCTAATAATACTGGTAATACTGAGTATCATAAAGCAGGTGAAATGTTACTCAACGAATACATATACTGTAAAATCATTTTAATTTTACTATTTTAATGATTCATGCGAATTCACTGATTTTTAGGTGCACAATCTTGGCAGGGAAACAATGAGTTCTATTCTTATTTTACATGTTCATGTGGATATAATTTAGCGAAAATAGCAAAATTAAAAACCAGCTAATAATTAATATGTTTACTGTATCACAGTTAAGGGCAAAATATATTAGCTGCTCGTATGCTCGCGTAATAGACAGTGATGTGTCTTTTGTCGAATTAAGAGGTATTATAATGATCCAGCATACAATAAAAATTTGGTTACTGGTAATGGCGAAAATATGGAGTTGACATACTAGTGTATCTGAGCCAGACCACATTGCTGGATTGTCTTCAAAACTTTGCATATCGCTCAAATCTTATTATCTTGAAATCATCAATGTAAACGTGACATTTGATATAAAATTTATGCAGAGAAACTATTTCATTAAGTTTAATTATAATTCTTCAATGCTGTGTTTTGTTTGCAGATAAAGAAACCGATGAAAGCCGACTTGCGAGGCCGGCATCGCCTGTAGAAAGACCTCCAAGTCACCTCAATAAGCTGAAAGTGTATATTACCTGTGATGCCGAACGGTGGAATGAAGCCACTTATGTCAAGGCTGGGTACATACAAATACATTAATTTTAGTTCATTAACAATATTATGATACTTGCATTAAGTTATAAGTTATATAAAAAAAAAACATTACCAACTATGTAATATTTAAAATTTTAAATATTGTCTGTTACATCACAGGTTGGATTCCTATGGCTTTAACTCTATGTTGCTGCCCCAGGCACGCGTGGCAAAGGGTAGCATTGAGTTAGACATGGAACCACGTATCAAGACATGTCAGGTGATCGTGATGTGTATCACTCCACAATACTGCAACAGTAAGCATGCACCGATTGAATTAAAGTTAGCCAAGAAGTATAATAAGCCGATACTACTAGCCGTGATGGAGAAGACGGAATGGCCGCCTGCTGGAAATATTCAAGATACGCTGCAGTATCTGACAATGTATCGAATCGGTATGTATTATGCTTTGTATTTTTTGGAGTACTTAACCATTTAATACTCGGTACATAAAAGATGTGAAGCGGTTTTCAACGGTTCAAATACTTTGTTGGATGGGAATACCGACTTTGATAAGTTTTACTTTTTTTGGATGATCATTGTTTCCAATTTAATTTGATTTTATTTCGTCAGAAATGTATTCGGATTTTACGTGGGGGATTGAACAACTTGAAAAGCATCTTGTTGATGTCAAGGGTAAAGGTTACAATGCAGTGGAGTTTCATGTCAGTGAGGGAGAAGGAGCGAGATTACTCTACACCGATGCACAGGTTAGTCAGGTTTTCCAATTCAAGATCCAATAATTCATTTTCTCAGGTTGTGCATTTGATCTATTTCAAAGTAATCAGGGAAAATGCCCACACATACAGTATTTGCTCTATTAGTAGTGCATGCATTTAATTACGTAAATGACTTGTTGATACGTTGGCAGAAATGGATCAGTACATTTCATTTCTGATTTTTTTTGCCATGTCACTTTTGTGAGTTTGTTGTACATATCAAAACAGAATTTGTTGGTTAACATGTGCCTCTATTGTTACTAACATGAGGGCAGTGTAAAGATACTAGATTCTCAGATCCTGGTTACACAAATTGAAAGACAGGCAAAATTTTGTAAAAAAAAAAAAAGGACCCATCAATTGTTGATCATACTAAATATTTCAATCAAATTAATGATAAATAAATAAATCTCAAATGATGACTATCTCATACTAGTTCAGAGTGTAATCTCCCAAATCATGGTTTTTTATTTTTTTTTCTAAATTTAGAATGCAAGTCGTCGTAATGAGAAGACTGACCCCAATGCTTTGAAAAAAGCAATTGCTGATGCAGATAAAAGGAAGGCTCAGGGTTTTGGCAACATGGATGATTCATCGCCAACAAGAAAACAGGCTAATGTACAAAGAAATTCTAAAGCATGTACAATTCTTTGAGGCTGAAAATTGTGGCAATTATGTAGTGCGCCCTCTGCCGTCCAATTTTAGAAATTGTTTATCAAGTGTAAAAGCATGTATTTTTAAATAAAATTATGGTTGAATAATTTTGTACATTTTTCAATTACCCTATATTGTAGTTTTTACTGGGTCACGACTTGTGTATTTATCACTTACCGGTATCTCTTGAAATGACATTTCAGGAATGATTTTTATTTTCTGTATATATGTTTACTTTATTATATTTTTGTTTTCCCATCTTGAAATTGTATATACAGGGTCCAGTACAGCTATTTCTAATATTGCTTTGATCCCGCTTTGATTATTTTTTGTCATCTGTGCATTATCAGATATCTGACGCCATTTCTTAAATGTGCTTTGGTCGATCTCATGCATGCACTTCGATTTTTATCGACTGAACATTTTGATTCTCAAATTCAGATACTTGAACCATTTGAAGGAGATGAACAGGTCATTTACATATAAAGGTACTAGTGCATGTCATATTTTTCTTTTTTTTGGAGTTTCAAATAAAAATGCCTGACAGGCGGCCATTTTGTTTTTATTCATGTCTATGCCAATTTAAATACTCACTATTAACATATAGCTTGATTCAGCTAAAAGTTTGCACACAATTATTACTAGTATGTCTTACCATAGACCTTAAGGTCTTACTTTGTGATTTGATGAAATTTGTCAAAATGACTACCATCTTAAAATGATGAATACGTTGATTTCCTTCAAATTTTTTTGCATGATCAAGCATATTGGGTGAGATCCACATCATTTTTTTTGACTGTCAACTATTTGTTTTTGTTATGGTATCCATGATAGTTTCTCTGTCTGTATGTGTGATTATAATCACCACATTTTGTCAGTATTTTCACTTTTAGTCATACTGACTTGAATTTGACACACAGATGATGCATGGAGTTCTTTGGCAGACATGTACTTGTGATTTGTACTGAACACTGTGATCCATTACTGTTTATACCAAACAGAGACGTTGCTATGTCAACACTTGTTTAGTTTAATTATAACAATTTTCTTTCAATTTGATTTTTCATGCAAATTGATTTTTATCCTGCAATTTTTACAAATATCTAAAGAAAGCTGTGTTTACAAATATTTTTTAACTGACATGGACGATTACCAGGAATGAGAGATTTTTTAAGTGCGGGGGAGGGGCTTATATGTATAATCTTTTAATCTTTCAACTAAATAGATTCTGTAAACCTCTTTAATTTTATGAGAGATAAGCTGCTTTATATTCATGAGACAGAATGTCAGTTTAATTTTGTAGAATCGAAAACAACGAACGTCAGTGACAGAAATTTTCGGCAGTAAAAATTTGACAGATTACAGTCAATATATTGTGTTGTTGTGTGTAGAAATTACACATATTGTACAAATTATTGTTATCAGGGTATATTTATTCCAACAACCTAAATATTAATATTTTCCAAATGCAATACCACTCAATGTACAGCGACTTTTTTTTTTAACTCAAACCTTTAAATAACCTTTCTAAAGTCAATACTTAAATACTTGTATAAATATTTGAAAGTTGATTCTCTTACCTGTCTTATTAGCCCATGTCGCTATGAATAAACTAATTTATACCAGTCAAAATTTTCCCAAGGTTTTTAAAAAGATTGTTTTAATTTTATAAAACCCATAAAATATGTTTATTACCAGGAGAATGGTAAACATTGTTTCGTGACACTTTATTGAAACATTTTACTATTCATTGTCATCGCGTACAGTGACAATATTTTGTCTCATTGTGTCGTCAAACCTGTGTATAGTGACCAAACAATGTACTTTTAGTTCTTTATAGACAGGTGGTCTTTATATGGAGGTTGATTTAATTATTTTGCATCATTTTTTTCTTTTATACACACGTTTGTTTGACCAAATTGTGCCAAAAGAGTGGGCACTGGTCACTGGACAGGTGGTGTTTATGTACAAGTCACTTTTCATGTAAAATTGGTCTTTATATAAGAATGGTCACTATCTCTGGTTGAATGTAGTTTTAGTCAACAGTTTGTTGGCTTATTTCCCCAGTATGTAGGCTTATTTTATAGTATTTTGGCTTTTTTCACAGTGTGTGGGCTTATTTCACAGTGTGTGGGCTTATTTCACAGTATGTGGGTTTATTTTACAGTATGTGGGCTTATTTTACAGTATGTTGGCTTATTTTACAGTATGTGGGCTTATTTTACAGTATGTTAATTTTTTCACTGTCAATCAGTTTTTAGAGCAGCACATTTTGTCTATATAAAAAATGATACATGTACCAGTTTGTAATACTTCTTGACATCAATTTGTGAGGTACTATATATTTTGTTCACCCTGTATGTCCTAATGTCACCGCCACATTGTTTTAGACACCAAAATAGCAACACTGCCAGCTAAAAAAACTGACTGGTTTTCGATGCGTGTCTCGAGATTGTTACATGATTGAAACAAGTAGGGTCAAACCAACCTTGATAGATGATGTCAAACTAATACTGAAAAACGTGTTGATTTTAATTTTTCCGATAGTCCAATCCAAACAAATTAAACAAAATGTATGTACTAATGCGTTCTTGCGCGTCAGGGCACGGTCACTCCCAGGTGTTTGTCTAGTGTGTTGCACAGCGCTAGTATTTACTAGTATTTGCACAGCATACCCTCATAAAAATAGTTTATTCTACTCAATTCAACTCAGTTCAAATCTTGTAATGCTCACTGCAAACCAGTCAACAACTTAGCTAGCATTGTTGTTGTTTGGGTGTCGTTATCAATATAGCTATGATGGGAATATTTAACATGTATCAAGAATTCCAGGTTTTCTTCTATCTTTGCATATATTTTTTCAATAATTTATTTTTATATTTTGCGCGTGTGTATCTGTCATTAACAAGACTTATTTGTATGATTATGATATTGTATATTTGTATTTTTTTATGTTATTAAACAATGTGTAAGGTAATTATACCAGCTTATTCAGATTTGGTACATACATTACAAATGTTGAGATGATGATGATGATTCATTTTGCGGTTGAATCAAAATGGCTGACTGGCAGCCATCTTGTTTTAAAAAAATTTGTTATTTATCATATTTTTGTCACATACATCATCAATACATGCCTATGTTTACTTGTAGGAATATCTTCCAAATGTTCATAGTAAAAAAATTAGTAAATATAAAAAAAAATTCATACCGGTAGATAATTTAGGATAACATGAGTGAGTCTGGCTGCAAATGAATTCATGAATGGCAAGATATCCTCCCATTACTCTTATTACAACTATGGGTGCGAGCAAACTTGAATTGACTTTCAAAGTTGTATATTCTCAAACATAAATTGTATGTTAGTCACTTGGTACACATTCACATGTTCTTTACTTGAGTATCAATACAAATTTGCATAAATATGAGAAATAAAAATATACAGTGACCATATATTAGATTGTAAATTTAGAAGATATTTAATAAATATGATTTTTGATATTAGATTATTCACTCTCAATTACTGACCATTATTGACACTACAAATTCATTTAGAAACAATTTACTAGGTCACATGACCACATTAAATTTGATTGCATATATTTATGCATCTAGCAATTAATATCCATATAACTGTATCTTAGACATGAACAACATTTCCCCCAACAGGGACTATGTCATTAACAATGACTTGTTTTATTCATGCTGTTAAGTTATGTGCTTTTCTGTGTTTTATTTTGTATGGGCTTTGCGCATGTGCCATGACCCGGAAGGAAGTTTGGTTTACGGTATGCGCAAAAGTGGGATTTTGTACGAGTGATCAAAGAATAAAGCTAGTTTTCACAGATAATCTGTTAAGTATCACATGCATTTTATTTCACGAAGCTGGAATACGTGACTGTTTGCTGTGAAAGTGACACAAAGAAAAAAAATCTAGTTAGCATGTTTTGGCTCGCCCCTCACATATTTCATTAATTGAATGTTTGTGAAGAATAATTGAGATATTCCTTTCATTATCCTGATACACTAAATAGAAACAAACTTTACACCGAAAAAATATTCCATTAGATCAATTTTGGTACAGATAGAATAAAGAAAACAAGATTTTAAAAATTTAACAGGAAACTACAAGCCAAATTATTTTTTGTTTTATTTTTTAAGAATTTCGTGTTGGTGAATTACCAGTACTATCTATTTATATCTTTCTAGTAGTTCACAAAAACTATCACTATTAATGTTAGGCTATATTTGAAACATGTGCATGCAACGTGTCTTATTTGACATGGGTCCCATGCAAAATATAGTAAGTAGTCTATTATGGTAAAATGAAATTCGAAATTGCAGGCACTTTAACAACAGTTTATCTCCCATATCCAAATTAGGTAAGATATAACTAGAAGCTGTTTCCATGATTTCTCTGTGTTCTTGTAATGAGGTTTGAGAATTTTTTTTAAAAATGTTTTCACATTGGATTGAAAAATGTCCATTTTTGTCACCTACCAAATAGGTGAAATAAAACTGCATGATATTTTCACATATTTAGGTCTAAAATTAACAAAGATATTGGAGAAAATTGCACGAAAGTGTGCAAAAAGAAAAAAAATGACAGCAATACGTATAACAATATCTGTATCAAAGAAAGCTTAGAAAGAACTCCCGTGTGCTTGAGAGTATTGAAGACACATTAAAAATTAATTCAAAATTACTTGTACATGAGATATTGATGGAAAAGTTGAAAACTAATTATGTAAATCTGGTAACTAATATGAACAGAACAGAACAAAAAAATTATGAATTATTATGCTAATTAGAGAATTAATATGAACAAATTTTAACCCAAAATTAATCAGGCCTGTATATTGTCCTGGAGCATTTATGTATCAAATTTTATTCAAATGTGATGATCAGTAATTGAGATATCAGTGTTAATTAATTATGTTAATTAGGTGATTAATAAGCATAAATATTTACCAAAAACTAATTGGGTTTCTGCATAGTTCTCTTTAAAAGTTTCATTAAAATCCAATTTGTGGTTCTTTATATATCAGTGGAACATTATGCAATCCTGGTTCTGCATTTCGACCCATCAGGTCCAGGCAGATGAATTAAGGTGCAAGCTCAACAAGAAATCAGATTCCGATGAAGATGCGGCAAGTCATGAGACTGTGCAACCCAGCCAGGGGTAGCCTTTTCCCTTGTCCAGAAGAGAGCTGCGTCAAGATTTATCAAACATGCAAAGGTCTGGAGGCTCATGTAGCTGTTGGAAAGCACAAACGTCGCCTTGAAAGAGAGACTTTGCTGGACAAGACAAAGTTGAAGTACGCAGAAAAGCTTGCACAGAGTTTGTCAGAAGTGCCACATGTAGAGCCATCCTTAGAAGTAGAAGTAAATAGAACAACACCTTTCCCACAGCAAGGATGGGCACTGCGCAGTCCGAAGATGGCTGTCTGGTTTAGCCACAAGCAAAAAAGGACCTTGATAAGCGGTTTTGGCTTGGACAAGCTACTGGACGAAAGTCAGACCCCATTACTGTGTCCAAAGAGATGAGGCATGCGCGTGATGCACAAGGCCAACGGCTATTCCAGGTGCAGGACTTTTTGAATGGCCAGCAAGTCTCTAGCTATTTCTCCCGACTGGCAGCTAAACGCCGTAAAGTTTCAGAAGACTCTGAGGAGGAGGAGGAGGAGGAGCAACATGCCCCTACTGTAATCAAATCCTCCAACAGTCGCATACAAGAGAAAATCATCACAAACGTCGAACTATGTCACCATGTCTTGTACGATACATTCAACCTTTGTGACTTGGCAAAGAGGGGAGGCCTGTATGAGATTGGCATAGTAACATTAATGTTCATTTGCAAGCACTTTGATGTCGACGTATCCTCCATCACTGACCGTCGATGCAAGTCGGCATTTGTTGCAAAACTTCGAGAGTACTTGAGTTTCTGCCTGGTTTGTGTAAAACTAGAGTGTACTAAGACGTAGAGGTTTGTGTGTTTTTATGTAGGCTTAGTTAGATAAATGCTGTTAGGATGTTACTTGGAGAAGATGCCTCTTGAATCGTTTGTTTCTTTTAACATTGTCAATGTCCAATGTATATTATATTGGTACTACCGGTACAATGACTGATAATGCACTTACAGTGTTAACTTAAAGTTCAGTTAAGCGCTGACTCTGTTATAAGTGTAAATATCAATTTGTAATAAAGAAACTAAGATATTGTTTTAAATTCAGCTATGTTCTATAATGCATATCAAAAGGAACACTGACACGAGAACAAACGTTCCTAACATTCAGTTGATACACAATGTCTAAATATGACCTATGTTCAGAGACCTCCCGGGACTAAACGTCACTCCCTAAAACTCTACGAGCATTTACTTGACTGGCTTAAGAAGAAGTTGAGTTAGAATTCTGATTTTTCAGGTACAGTAGCATACTTTGAACATGGTTCAGGGACAACCATGTGATTAAATGTCATGTCCCGAAGCTCTACAAGCATTTATTCAGTAAAAAATTCAAAGATGTACATTTGATTAGAAGTTGAATCAGAATTCTTCTTCAGTTTTTCACGTTGCATACTTTGAAAATTCACAATGCAAAAAATGGCCTACTTTCAGGGACAACTACGTGACTTAACGTTATGACCCGAAACTCTACAAGCATTTATTTGATAGACAATACATAGATGTACATTTGACCAGAAGTTGAATTAGAATTTGTATTCACTCCGTCACGTTGCGTACGTTGAACAAAGCTAAAATTCTCAATTTTTGTCAAATTTAAAAAATGGCCTAATTTCAGGGACAACCACGTGACTGAACGTCATGACCTGAAACTCTACAAGCTTTTATCTGATAGACAATACATAGATGTACATTTGACCAGAAGTTGAATTAGAATTATTGTTTACTTCGTCATGTAGTGTACGCTGAACAAAGCTAAAATTCTCAATTTTTGTCAAATTTAAAAAATGGCCTACTTTCAGGGACAACCACGTGATCGAACCTCATGACCCGAAACTCTGCAAGCATTCATTTGATAGGCAATGCATAGATTCACCTTTGACAATAAGTTAAATTAGAAATATATTTTACTTCGTCATGTAGCGTACTTTGAACATGGCTAAAGTTCACAATTTTCGCAACACACAAAAAGTGGCCTAATTTAAGGACAGTCACGTGACAACCAAACAAGGTACCAAATTTTGCAAAAATGCTTTTGATAGATGTTCCAATTATCTATATATGGTACAAGTTTCAAGCCAAAAAAAATACCAGAGCGTCAATTATAGCAAATTTGGGCAAAAAATTTTTTTTTTTTTTAACTTGAAACATCTAATTGTTTTCAGGCTGCCCAAGAACTAAAATGTATGTCTTTTGAAATTGCACAACAATTTTGAAAAAGCCAAAACGTTGGTCTATTCAGATCTTGTTTTGTATTTATGGTAGGTTTGAAGGTGTTGCCGAGACAGTGCCGTAAAATATGCTGATTTCCGTGTTTTTGAGATGCGAAAATTGGTTTGTTTGCCCGTTACCATGGCAACAAGGATTTTGATCTAAAAGAAAGCTATTTTGAGGGGTTGTGGACCAAGTACTATCACTGTGCAAAATATGAGCCAAATCTATTTTTTGACCCCTGCCACCATTGTTTGATTCTTACAGACATTTGCTCTTAATACTTGAAATATCAAAAGCTGAAAATTAAATAATTATCAAATTAGGTAATTAATATCTACTGATATTACCCTAAAAACTATCAGGTCTGTGCAGTGTTCTATGATATCTATGTACCAAGTTTTATTGAAATGTGATGATTACTACTTGAAATATTAAAAGCCGAAAATTAATTAATTATGCAAATTAGGTAATTAATATGTACTGATATTACCCTAAAAACTATCAGGTCTGTGCAGTGTCCTATGACATCTATGTACCAACTTTTATTGAAATGTGATGATTAGTACTTGAGATATCAGTGGAAAAACCAGAAATTGATTAATCATTATGCAAATTAGGTAATCAATATTGCACAGATTTTTACCCAAAACTAATCAAATCTGCGCATTAGTTTGGAGCATATATATGCCAAGTTTCATCAAAATCTAATGGGTGGTTCTTTAGATATCAGTGGAACAGTCATGGAACAGCTAAAAATTAGCTAATTATCATGCAAATTAGGTAATTAATGTGCATGGATTTTTACCAAAACCTAATCAAATCTGCGCATTGGCCCAGAGCATCTATGCACCAAGTTTCATCAAAAATCAATGTATGGTTCTTGAGATATCAGTGGAACAGACACACACACACACACACACACACACACACACACACACAGACAGACACACTAACTGCAAAGACTCCCTTTTTGTGCTTCGCACACGGGAGTAAAAAATTCATTAATTCCAGCAGACAATACATTTTTTTTGTTTATAATATAAATTATTGATTTATTGATTATGATTTTACAGCAAAATATTACTGGTAGTACCCAACCAAGTTGTCATTACAGTGAGCCCAACGTTTGCAATATGTAACATTATATTTCTAAAAACATTTAATATTGGTGAGCTCTTTTATTTACAATACTGATATAAAAAGCTGATACATGTATGTGATAAATCCTCTTATAATTTGTCATCTTTAAGACATGGGTGCTGATTTCCTTGTTAAAAAAATGCAGTTGATCACATAAACGCAGAAATAATCTGTCAAAATATAGTTGTCGAGTGCAGACATTCCAAATTAAATTGCAATAAATCATTGTTACCTATATTCATGATGTACACTTTAACATGACTGGTATTTCTTTTCTAAATATTGAAGCAAAATATTTTTTGAAGTTCTGAACTAATTTTAGACCCAATTACATAATTATATTTGATGTTAATCTTATTTTGAACTCAAATTTTTATCAATGAAGCAATGAATTGCATGGTTAATTACTAGAATGTATCTCATATTTTTTACTGCTAGAAACATATCTTTATGTAAATGACTGAGATGAGTCTACATTCACATTTCAATGATTTTGCATACAATAAATGCAATTTTTGGCTTGTGTGCTTCTACTTCAGAAATGTTCTTGTTTTTTTAAATCAGATAAATAAGGTACATTAAAACCATTTCTTTCACAGTAATCATAATTGTTGAAAAACTTTAGTTATATTTACAGGTCTTTGGCATTTCAGTATTTAAAATGTAATTAGAATTGAGGATAGATGAATTTAAGGATGTATCGGGTAAATGCAATATTTAGCAAGGGGGTCTCTGTTTATTATGAAGTCAAAGGCGTCTGCAGTCTGGTCTGTCTAATGTTATTAAAGTTTTTCAACATTCTGTAAGTTAGGGGATCTTTTTTGTGACAATATTGCTTGAAACTTATGATAAATAATACATTAAAATAATATTGATAATAGGTGTAGAAAAATTAAAAAAAAATGTTCAATGAACCCTAGACATGGAAACTCAGTGACACATATTAGATTTATATAATGTATCCATATTTCACAGAATGAGATCTGCGAATTTAAATTGTGTATAAGACAGTGGTTATATACAAAACCCACTCTATAATTAACCAGTTTTCTAAATCCTTGCATAGTCTTTATTTCAGAATTTGTCTTATTCTTCACATGGCACAGCTGAAGCCTGCTTCATCGTCTTGAAAATAACCGGTTTAGTCTTTTCGGTGATCTCAACCTTTTTAGTTTCAGCGATCTTTGGCAGTGGTGTGCTGACTTTGTGTTCCAGAGTCATGTGGTTGATTGGCGGTAGTCCGATGCAGGCTCGGAAGATGTTTTCCAAACAGGCACGTTGTTTGAAGAGTGCATTGACCACTGGTGTACCCGAGGGAACAAGCGGGGCTTTACAGAGGTAGCTGAGGATGGACAACACTGGGTGGAAAGTTTCCCAGTCATCACTGTTAGCTGTAACCAAAGGGTGAAATAAGAGACGTTAACAACGACAACAACGGTCACAAAAACAGAATTTATTCAACTACTCCTTCATCCTTTAATTTCATTACAAAACAAAACTATTGTTTACACCATTCGAGAACATTTATCCCGGAAAATAAAGTGGTTTAAAATCAGCAATACCATCTATAAATATAATAAATTTGTACAATGTACCAGTAAATAAAATGCAGTTTTTGGTAATCATAAGCCATTCTCATACATTGTAATTTTTCACTAAACTGGATATTTTGGGCTATGGCCCAATCTGATTAAAATCTGATGTACATATAGGCTCAAATTTTTTTATTTTTTATTTATTTATTTTATTGTTATTTTTGTTTATTCATAACTATTTTTTGTTTGTTTTACTTGCTGCAAATAAAACCAAAACGAAAACATAAATAGACAATAAATAACAATGAAAATTACATTAAAAAAAAAATTGAAGCTGGTACCTACATTGAATTTATCAAATTGGGAAATGCCCCATCATCTGGGCCGATAGTAACTGAATTGTATAATGGACTATATTCCGGCTTTGAATTCATATGGATACTTTTCAGTTCAAAAACAGTTGAAAGTCAATGTTAATGTACATGTATTGAAAGCACAATTTACTGAAAAATAATAATATACCTGTCTTGAAATTGATTCTCTGGCACATCTCGCAGAGGATAACCAAGTCTAATATGATTGGACTAGCAAGAAGCGAATCCTCGCACGTATTGTGCATCACGATGGTATTGTGGCCGCCCATCATAATCTCTGAGGTATATTCGTCCATAGCACGCTTACTGTCACCAACGAATGGTACGTATTTAATGACGACGCAGTGATCTGGTTTCTCATTTTCCTCATACAAGATAGAATTAGACTGGACCATATCATCAACTACGTTGCTCTTGGAGATCTCCTTCGAACGGAATTGTTGGGGTGCCGACAAATTCTTGCCATCGTTGTTGCCAAGGTGATTGTAACTGACGATGGAAACTGGCTGTGATTCAAAAAGATTAAAAAAAAATGTTAGAAATTAATATTTGTTGAAATAATTTAATTTCAAGATTCGAATATAGTATTTTAGTTACATTCAGGATCCGTTTGCTTAAATCATGGATCTGTACATGAAACCATAGCAACACTGATGTGTAGTGAAACCATAGCAACACTGAAGTACAATTTTTCCTGAAAACAGAAATTTTACCTTCTGACAGCTTCTGTGCTAAAATAAAGCCATTCTACCTTAGCAACAGCTGTTGCTTGGGTTCAATAATTTAGAAATCTGGATACTGCAATTTATCTTATTTTATAGAGCAACACTACATCAGTAATTATGACTAGGTAATGGTCCAATCTCTTCAAGTAATTAGTAAAACCGATTTAATGTTTAAAGTATAACTGAGTTATATTTCTCAATTTTGCATTTAGTGTAATTTTGGCTCTTTAATTTTTTCATTTATGGGTATTGGTCTCTTTAGAACAGATAACAGTTTAAAATATATTTTTTAATACATAATTACCGTAAAGATTCAATATACTAATTGAGGGAAAGGAATGGAATTTATTTTAAAACAATGCATAAATTTTAAAGCCTTAAACAGTAAGTACGTCAACACTGTAATATAAATGAGTAAATATAATTGAGGGAATAATTGAAATTTCATACAGCCTAGCTGATACTTCCATTTTCCTAATATGTGCCTAACTTCCAGTTGTGATTGATGATAAAATTTTACGCTGTGATGTACGTATCATCTTTCTAAGCATGGAGCAAATGCCTTGACTGAGGTGAGATGCATCATGGGAATATCACAATGCACATGGGGGCTTCATTTACAAAAGTAGCTCTAGCTACAGGTGTATTTACTTGAAGATAATAAAAATGCTGGATATTTTGTCAATATAATGACAAAACCAAATATCTTAAACTCTTTTGAAAACTATATTTAATGTTTAGTGTTTTTAAAAGTATCTTATTTTTGCTGCAGGAAAATTACAATGTACTGTATATGCGGCTTATTAGTTGAAAATTGTATCTAATTTAACTAACATTGGTGCAACAATTAAAATACCAATAGCCTATACTGTGTGGCAACACCATAGTAAAATGTTCATGCTCTAATGAATTGAGAAAAACTGGAAAACTGAAATCACGCATCATATATGTACAAGATTCACACAAAAAAAATCGTTCTATGACTTCATTATAGGCATCAAACTCAGCTTTCAATGAAGTGAGTAGCCGGTTTTTGTCTGGCAGATACTAAAACATCATCAAATCTCAGATATTTGACTAGCTGTCACTCAAAAACAGTCTACTCACTCAAAAAAAAAAGACAATTTTTATGGCCTATAATAAATATGTTTTGTTTCATTATTTTTTACAAAAGAGAAAAAGAGAAAGTAAATCAGTTGTCTTTTTTTACCTCAATGGTGCCATTAAATCCATGGCACAGAGAGTACAATATATACAGACACCTTATGCTAATCAAATTGTTGTGCAACTTCTGTAGCACATGAACGCTCAGGTCACTGAAAGAAAGGACTTTTACAGAAGCAAAAGAAGCAGACTGTTAGTGGCCAGTAATGGAGGGTGGGGATGTTCAATGTAAAGGGGGCATACAATCTCATTGTAATAATTATTACCCTTCTAATAAAAAAAAATTCCACCTTGCAGCTGAAACAAACATGCAAAATAATTTGGGAAAACAAATTTCTAATATCAAAAACTTTTACGCATGAAAGCTAAAAATGTTCCCGTCGAAATATTGGACACAGTATTTTGAAACTATTTTTTTAAAGCATGTTTATTAATTTTGGATCAAATTTATTGTAAATCGAATTTAAAGAGCGGTGGTTGCCGTGCATTTGCATTTATAACATTTGTCTAAAATAAACATTGATTTTCCCACAATCCAATGCGCTCTTCTAATTGAAATCACGAGTACAAGTATTGACCTGGACGCAACATGCACTATAATTACCACAGGTGACTCCTTTGATATCTTTCAGTCACCAAAGAAATTATCTATTAAGCTTTGTAACGTCTCAGTTTCTACATGTTGGTCTGCCCAATAGTCAAATTCGTCATTTTTGTTTATATGATTCACAATTTAGCGAATTTTGCGTCAGTGAAAATCGTGAAATTTTGTATGAGTAAGTGTTGACGACTTTCGCAAAATTTTGTTTTCATGAATACCATAAAATCAAATCATAAAAATTCCTAGCATTGAAAATTAATTTACAGTAATTTCCAATTATCTTTAGATATTCATCAAAATTGTTGAAAAGTAGTAGAAAAAAAAAAAATTATTTTGTGAATGCAGGTTCAAAAGATTGACTTTGGCATTTACAGGGTTAATTAATTAGCACAATTTGTCAGGAACAGAAAAACATACCATACCATAACAGAGGTATGTGTACAGATGAGAATTGGAAAGGTCCCGAGGAAGATGAGAATTGGAAAGGTCCCGAGGAAGATGAGAATTGGAAAGGTCCCGAAGAAGGAAATGTATGCATTAATGCGGTGAATATACAAATTTTCAATTAACATTAATCATGCATAAAAACAAAGCATAGAAATTCACAACATGCATATATGAACGAACACATAGGATTGTTTCAGTGAACACTGGATGCCAGCTGTTTTGATTCTTCTTCCACCGTGAAAGTGGGTTCACTACATCTGCAACATTCAACAAGAGTGCTATAAACATGAGACCATGCTGCGTATTGTATTATCAATATATCATGCATAAAATTTGCATATTTTGACACCAACTCGGATCTACACTGGATAAATGTCTGAGAAGCACTAAATGATATCGGTGCATAGTAAGCGACCTTACAGTTCAAACAAATATCATTTTGCTTTTTGAATAAGATTCTGAATATATTATCAAATCATTAATCATGTAAACTAGAAATATTCTATCCATAGTTTAACATGCATCACGGAATTATGGTGCGGTTTTCTAAAGCCATGAAAATGAAGCAGATATATGCCAGCTTATTCTAATTATACATTTGGACAACCAGTAAGACCAGGGAGGGCAAGGTAAGGGTGAATTTACAGCAATGAGAGTAGACTGCTTCAGCCATTTTGTAAGGTTAAATTGTCATGGAAAAGACAGATCCAGTTTTCCTTTTATTCAATCTTTACCTTTTTAAAGAGGTATTGAAAAATAATTTATTTTAGCTGGAATAAATTTTCGCTGAAAAGACATTTTGGGTGTTTTGTATGGAATTTATTTTCACTGATTTTTGACAAGTTGAATGTAAAATATAGAAAAAAAAGTGTATTTGTCGGATTTTATTTTTACTGAATCATCCCTTCAGCGAAAATAGCCAAAATATATTCCAAGCAAAAATAAAGTATTTTACATTAATATACTGGGGTAGATAAATTTGTGTATTCTTTGATGATTTTGTTTCAAAATGTATATTGGTTAAAACAATATGTTACAAATATTTTGGTAGTAAACAAAACAGTATTTGTTTAATGCTATGATGACAACGCTGATGAATGCATACTTTGAGTAAACTGGTAAATCAGAGATGCATTCATATTTGCGTTTTTCATTATTTCATCAAAAAATGCTGTTAAGTTTGTCACCAGAACAACTTCAGTTCAAACCAAGACAAAATATCAAACAAAATTATTTAAACATCTTTAAAAACATGAACTCTATATAAGTTTATATTTAATTTCTATATATTTAATATATTTAATAAAGTATTGGATGTGTGTGTTTTTCATTCATTTCATTTATTTGGCCTTATCATCTATCTTTCAAAATTGACTCAATGCAGATTTAAATGATGAAGAACACAAGCCAAATTAAGTCAGTTATCATCACCAGTCCATAAACACAAGGTGGCATGAAAAATAGAAAGTGATCATTTTAAAAATTAAAAACATAATTTATTTAATTATTTATTTATTTACTGAATGACCAAGTTTCATTAGGCTTTTGTGTTTTTTACATTGGGTTTTTTTTTTTGCTACCAAAATGTACTGAATTAAGCTTAAACTTTAGCGACGGAAGTGAGTTTTAGAAGATATTAAAACTTGTACCCCCCCCCCCCCTGTCGGTTATATATTTGTCTAGCAGTGTAACATTAGCATAGGGGGTATTAGCAGTTTTACAGTAACATAGGGGGTATTTAATAGCGCATAGGGGTATTACGGTAGCAGTGAAATAGTACAACAGCGACATGAGGACATGGATCAGTCATCTTACCTTGATACCGGCACTGACAAGAAAATCAACCAAGACTGACTTGATTTTTGTCTGGCCAGACTTGAAATCATCCCCACCAATGAATACTTTGTGCTTGGCAGCCAGTTCAATGACGCCAGGAACCAGTGTATTCTGTGGTGATCCATTAATGTATGCACATCCTTCCAGGATACTAGCAACAGCAAATACAGTTGATGGTGAAACTTCCGATTCACCTTCCTTGATGGAAGTTAGAAGGTTTGCAGCAGTGTCGTTGAGACCGGACCGGACATCAGAGAAGCGTTCTGTGTTCGCAGTCCATAGAACTATCACCTGCAGGGAATCATTCAAATTTAAAACAAGCAGCCTCTCGACTGAGATAGCTCCGCTGTTAGCAATGCACATTTCAATTAAAGAACAGAAGATATCATTAGAAAATGAACAATATGTATAGTATCAAAGCAATCAGACTTTATAATACAGTTTTTAACAAGAAAATATCACTTTCTACCAAAAATGACAAAAATATTCACCAAAATTAGAGAATTTAAGATATCATCACGAAATGAACAAATCTGAGAAAGGTCTACATGTAGTATCTATATATGTAATATCAAAGCAATTGAACTTTTGGTTTTTAACAAGAAGTCGAAAATATCACTTTTTACCAAAAATGACAAAAATATTCACCAAAATTAGAGAATTGAAGATATCATCACAAAATGAACAAATCTGAAAGAGGTCTACATGTAGTACCTATATATGTAATATCAAAGCAATCGGACTTACAGTTTTTAACAAGAAGTCGAAAATATCACTTTTTACCAAAAATAACAAAAATATTCACTAAAATTAAAGAATCGAAGATATCATCACGAAATGAACAAATCTGAGAAAAGTCTACATGTAGTATCTATATACGTAATATCAAAGCAATTGAACTATTGATTTTTAACAAGAAGTCGAAAATATCACTTTTTACCAAAAATTACAAAAATATTCACCAAAATTAGAGAATTGAAGACATCATAACAAAATGAACAAATCTGAGAGAGGTACACATGTAGTACCTATATATGTAATATCAAAGCAATTGGACTTGAAGTTTTTAACAAGAAGTCAAAAATATAATTTTTTACCAAAAATGACAAAAATATTCACCAAAATTAGAGAAATGAAGATATCATTACAAAATGAACAAATGTGAGCGAGGTCCACATATAGTACCTATATGTTTAATATCAAAGCAATTGGACTTGCGGTTTTTAACAAGAAGTTGAAAATATCACTTTTTACCCAAAATGATAAAAATATTCACCAAAATTAGAGAATTGAAGATATCATCATGAAATGAACATATCTGAGAAAGGTCTACCCAAGGTACATATACACGAAGTATCAAAGCATTCAGGCTTGTAGTTTTCAAGAAGAAGTCGAAAAAGTAAAACATTGACACGGACGACGACGGCCGACGACAACGAACGACGACGGATATGATAAGCTCCGCTCGACAAAGTCGACAGCGGAGCTAAAAAAGTTGTAATCAAATATCAATGTAATCAACTTATTATCCCATCATGAAATTGTTTTTTTTTTCCTACTTTTAAGAAAATTTTGTTGACTCTCTTAATATGGCTACTAATTAAATATCTAGACAGAGATGTTTAAAATATAAAAAGGATATGAATAGTTATTGCTACATAGAGAAATAAACGTGTGGTTGTGTAAACATTCAATTTCAATTTGAAGATATTCAAAACATGGCACAATATGCTTTTTATTTTCTTCCTGAAACAAATTGACAAAATAAATTTCACTCACTTTATCAAGCTGATTTTCATTTCTAAAATCTCTGATGTCTTTTCGTATCTGTTCCATTTGTTCCTGCTTACTGCCTTTGAGAACATTATCAGCACGATCAGCCTGGTTAGCGGCAATGAAGTCTGGAAAGTAGATGGATGGGCGTGGCTTGTATTTTTCCATATGCTTGTACAGTTGTTTTTGTAACTGGACATCCAGTACGCAAGCTCTCTCCATGGCTTCAGCTAAATCCAATGAGGAAATGTCCCAGCCATCGAACACTATATCTTCTGGTTCTATCATGGGTAAAATGTCTTTGAAAGGAATGTACACATCTCCATGTTGTCCACTTCCAAGACAAATTGTTGATGCTTGAGTCAGAGAACCAAAATAATTGGCATGCTAAGGAAAAACGATTACGAATATACATCAATTATATGGAACCCCAAGAAAGCTGATTCTATTTCTGTATGCAGTATCTTACAAAGTCACCTATTGTTTTACCACTCAAAATTAGTTTGTTTCGTCACTAACATTTTTAAAACAGAAATAGTACTTTTGGCTTTGGTGTGTGAATTAACAAACACCAAACATCAAAATTGACGTTGTGAAAATTAAACCCACATAACATTTTTATACATTTTTTATTTAAAATAATGATTATAACCAGTGAGGAACAGAAAATTAAGTCCATTCAGAAAAAAATTGAAAAAAATTATTTAAAAAAAATAAATACAAATTTTGCACAAAACTTTCAGCTAGGAAGAGTCTGGCATTGAAAAGATTACCATATTTGTTCTTTTAGAAGTGCATAAACACCTCAGCTACTAATAAAACAAAGAGAGTAATAAGCAAAGAATTGTATTTCTTTCATTAGGTAATTTGACTTATAAATATGTAAATTTGACATACTGGAGCAGACAAAACATATCAGAATAATTTGACGATATAACTTTTCTGATAATAAGGCCAGACTTTTTGTATTCCTTGTTTCTCAAGTTTTTATAAGACAATTTTTTTAAGGAGGGCGGAAAAAAATAAAATTAATTTTTTTTTTTCTATTAGATTTGTGTGATTCTCGAAGAATTGTAAGTGAGATCATTGATCGGAGAGAAGAAATAAAATAAAATGTTATTCCATGTATAACCTTGTTTCTCATCTGTGCGAGACTTCGGTACTTTGATCATCATACTCCCATGAAAATGCAACTTGGGTTTGTTTGTTTTTAGCAGTTTTTTGTACACAAGTTGGTGGGCTTATTTTTATTTCATTTTCGGCTCCTGTTTATTCGGCGCTAAACAAGGGATAATAAAAGTCTGGCCTAATTAAGTAAAACTTCACATACCGGTACAACAATTAACAAAAGAAATCACTATCCTACCTTCATGCCAGTTTTGGTTTCCCATGACAGACCGAGTTTATTGGCAATGACGGCTGCTGTAACAGTTGTGCCATTATTGCCGCCCCATCCTACCAACATGCAGCCAACTCTGGGTTTCTTGCACTCAGTACGAAACTTGAACTGAGTCGAGACTGGTACAGCTCTCATGGTACCATTGTCCTGGAGTATTTCGGTTGTTTCATACTTGTAGTCACTGATGATAAAATTTTCAGTGTAACTCACGTTGGGACTATCCACTTTAAATGCCATTTTGTATTGATGATATTGTGATAAAACCTATAATGTAGATAATAATAATAATTTTTATTCAACACGAAAGATTGTTGTTTTTAGTTATCTCTTCTATTTTTTCTACCCATCCTGTTGGGAGGGGGTGGGGATGGGGATGTTTTTAATCATTTTAAGTTGGTCCTATCTATTTGTAAGGGATGTACCATTTAAAATGTTGGTGAGTAAGAATATCAAACACCCGTGAAAACTGTCACAGAATTGTTTTTGTTCAACATTTGCTCAGAATTGACATGCCACGTTGTATATATCTTTCAATCACTTTGTCATTCACAAACAATTTAATTGGACCACCCCTGAATAAAAACATGGATTTCCCTTATGACTAACCGGGATGACTAAATCAAAAACTGAAGATGTTTGTTTCAAATGACAAAATTACGGATAGTTGGCATATTTATCTTCTTTTACTCACATTTCCTCTAAATTTTGTGCTTCTCACATTGAAACAAGCGACTCACGCGTTTCTTTTCTTGCGTACCGGTGAAGTGTGCCACTAACGGTAGTATTGGGAAATGTTTGTTTTCTGTTTCAGATTAAACATGATATACTACTATACTGTTCATAATTTAATGCATGTAATAAATAGTGAACGTTGACCAAATATCTTCCTGTTATGCTATTAAATATTCTCAATATAAAAAATAAATTAAATCCCGTCTCCGTATCGTTTTTAATTTCCCTCTAGGCATGGACTGTGTTAGTACGTCCATGCAGGGAGCTATAGCTCCCTGATCCATGCCGGCTCTGTATGACGATAAGCAAGCTGTTTTTTTTTTGCCTTAGGAATAGAAGTGTTCTGTTTGCGACCAAAACTCACACGGATGAGAAGTGAGAAGGAAAACATCTAGAGATACAAAATGTCCGCGGTTTGAAGAGTTTTACTAGTATTCGGTACTCGACCATAGCGGTATATTATCAAGGACGATTATCATTCACAAACAAAATTAAACACCCGTTCATTTATCTCGGCTGCGAGCTTCGCTTGTATAAACATCGCAAATGGAAACAAGTTTCTAATTTTCGTTTAGCTCTAGGTTGAGTCTTAGGTTGGGCAATTATCTTATTTTGGTAACTTGTTCTTTCTGTTTTGAGTGCCCGTTTTTTTTAAATAAAGTAGTTTGTTCTATTGGACTTTATCGTGTTAATTTTCTTTGTTTTTTCAATTAATTTTGTAACCTTCTTCGATGCGTCAGTGTAAATAAATAATGGTATTTCAATGACAACGTAAACTACGTACCTGTTTTTAATCTGGATCAGTTGAGAAATATTTTTAAAATTAACACGTATCAAGTCGTTGCCTCTCCTGTACGGACTATACAGACGCGGTGAGTTAGATCAGAACGTGATGATATATAGTAAATAATCACGTGATCAATGGGGTGATGTTTTTTTTCTGAACAACGTGATGACGTGTCGTTAATCAGGCCTCTCTGTTCTAGATAGTTAATCTGAATTTCATTGTAGTTGTCTGATACTCATAGTAAAATACACAGCATCTGTGCCAACGCTTTATTCATGAACTTCATATTGAATGCGGCTTTTATTATTATAATCTCATTCATTCCGATACCTTCACCCACCCACATTATAATCGCCGGTCCCACAACAACTTCACTGCATGCTGACAGAATAAATAGTTCGTCGTCCTGTCGTATTCTCCCACAATCCTCTGCGCTGAACTTGGTGTGCTGTTTTTTTGTCTTCTGCTTCAAAGTTCGTGTATAAGTATGTCCCTGATAACAGAATCATAATTTCCCAGTGGGTGAATGTCACCGAAGAATTAGAACTTGTTTCTGATAAAGGTAAACTGAATAAGTCGTCCCATACAACGCAGGAACGCCATTCCTGTCGTTAAATCACGTCCGTGTGTGCTATGAAAAATCTCCGACGGGGGAAAAATAACCCCGGCATTTCGATATGTTGTTATGTTGACACCACGGGGTTGATATGTTTAGAGTTATAGCTCACACTATAGTGTTGTATCGTTTGCTGTTTTCAGCTGTACTCTTCTCTGTTTTTTATGTTTGTTAATGTTTGAGAATAAAATTGAGTTATATTTGTATTTACTAGACGTTTTACTGTATCCATAGAGGTATTTTCCATTCTGTATTTTATTGCAAATTCATATGATGCTTACATCATGATAGTAAATAATCACAAGAACACATAA